TAAATCTCCATTATTAATCAAATTCTACTATGCATTAGGGTGCTTTTTTGAGCCAGGTTAATAGATGAGACAACCTAAAAACTGGGAGCTGCTTGTTTCCTTACTGTGGATATCCCAGACAGTCCCTATCACTCAAACTAATTATTAAAGCTATTAATAAGCAAGCTTTTTATTTTTTAAATGATAAAAATGTAATGATCTCAGTCAGAAAAAATAGCAAAGGCACTTTACCCGATGACCAGGGATCCGTGCAACACAGCTGAGGAGCCCACCTGTCCATGATAAGCAGCTGTAATCCTGTGGTCCAGGTCCTACTTCAGAAAGAGATCATTGCCTTCCATCTCTCGTTTATTGTGACTGCAAAACAGCTGCATAGGCTCATGGAGAGGTTTGCACTTACCTAGGAGAGCTCAGATCATCTCGAAGTGGAAAAATGATTATTCCTTGAGTATTCCTTTGCTGTTTACTCTTTGGCTCACTGTCATTTTTGCCTTGAGACCATTAGAGAGAAGCACTGCTGTCACTGCTGAAACCACATCAGTCTTGCTTCAGTGGTTTTCAAGAGTATTTCCTTCTAGAACTTGCACCCAGACCTCCACCTAAATGGGCTTCCTGCCTGCTTCGTGCTTTACCTCCACTCGCACAGCAGTGCTTCTACACGGATGTGACTGTAAAGAGCTGATCATGGTTTGGCAATGGAGATTTCTGACATGAAAGAGGGGACGTTTGCCAACTGCGGGCACATAAAACTGCAAAGTTAAGCCAGCTAAACCAGCTTAATTGATTGTGTTGCTAGCCGTGTGAACTGGGAGACTGTGAGACTCAAAAGTGGCACGAGGGAAGCAAGCAGGGTAAGTAGTAATGCCAAGAAAGGAGTACTCATTTTTAGCGAGCCTGGAACAGGGAAGGCCCAATCACTTCTCTGGGTCCTGGCCATACCTGCTCACACAGGAAGCTCACTTGTATTTGTCCCATTGGGCAGCAGAGCATCCGTTGTGTCTTCCTCCATGTTATGTCATTTGGAAGGCAAGGAATAGTTTGGGGCATCACCTTGGTGTGCACAGTGCTGTTCTGCTCTGATGGCCGAGTGCTGACAGCACAGAGCTGTAGTCACGCTGACCCATGGCCTCATGGAGCATTGGAGTGCAAAGGTCTCTTGCTTCCTCTGGAAACCTTCCCCTCCCCTGCAGTGATGCTAGCTGTAACCTGTTCTGCTCACTGCATGCTCAGGTAGGCACAGCCCAGTCCTGTCTCTGGTGAGCCCTTTGCTTTCATGCTATAATGTGTAGTGAGCTTTACTTTTATTCCTGCCCATTCTCTCACTTCTGTTATCCTGCTTCCCTTCCCCTCCTTTCAGGTAGATCTTCCCATCTTCTTGGGGACTGTTTTTTTGTTCCACCCTCCTTTCCCATTCCTGTAGCTTTATTACAGGATCGCACTTCAGCATTTCCCCCTTCAAAACTATCTGACTGTAGAAAGCGACCTTGGGTCCATCTGCTCATCTCCTCCTGACAATCACAAAGGGAAGTTCTCTGCTTGCAATCAAGATGCAAGTCACTGGGGTGGATTTGAACACAGAGATTACAGTCAGAACCATAATGCCTTTGTAATGCTGTCAGATTATTCCTCTCCCATGGAGTAAACCCTGAAGAGCAATACCAAGTCTTCAGGCAAACAGAATCTCCAGCTGTCAGTGCTTCTGCTTCCTCTGGAGGCAGACACATGCCTGTCCAAACACAATATGCTGGAAGACTGATAGTTGGCATCTTTGGCTATTGAGACATGCCATGTTTCTGGAACCTTTTATAAGTGATGGAAAGATAATAAAGGGAGAGGTAGGCCATAAATCCAGGCTGTCCAGTTCACTGTCTCTCATGGGACAAGTTGTGTTTAGCGTCCTGATTCTTAGCTTAGATTTTACAGTTCTTTGGCAGATATTTTGGCAGATTTTTTTACCTCAGACAATGATGTTCTTGCTAATGCAGCTGCCAGAAACAAAGACTAAAGAAGACAGGCAGGAATCAGAGGCAGTCCCCCTGCTCACCCCAGGAGCCCCAGCTTTGGGCCGGGCTGCAGCTCCCTCTGCCTCAGCCTCTGGCTGGATTGCACCGTTCTGACTTAGATTCATCTCTGCCAGCAGCGAGTGTGCACATTACATAATGTAATCTTTGTGTCTTGAGGATTCAGGCCTGTCCTCTTTTGTGCTGCCAGATGGAGGAGAAGCCATGTGCTCTCTGGAGAGATGTCCCTGTGTGTCTCGCTGCTCAGCCGCGCTGGAATTACGTCTTTCTCTCTGCAATGGGCCACTGCTGTTCCCTGGCATTTGGCTCCTTGATAGCTGGCTTTTTAGAATGTAGTGGATGTTATACAGCCACTGCATCCCAAAATTAATTTGTCTAGAAAAGGTGATACGCAAAGAAAGTCAGAAATGGATTAGTGAGGAGGATGTGCTCCAGATTCTCTGAATGGCTGGGGTCCTTTCCCAGCTGAAACCCAAATGTGGGGGTCAGGGACAACCAGGTTTCCAGCTCCTGTCCATACTGTCTCATTTCATTGTTGTTTCAGCTGTTGCTATTTCTCAGTTTCTCTGCTCTGTAACATGGCCTTGCCTGCATTGTTCCTGCCTCTATTAGTCTAGCTGCTCCTTGCCCTGATCCCTGAAGGGCTCTCCAAAGATAAATCACACCTGTGCGACTCCCTGCTCACTAATGAGGCATCTGCTCCAAATTCTGCAGTGCTCCATTGACTGAGACAAAGAACTAAACCCACCTGTGGACAGTAATACCACTGCAGTCCTCAGAAATAGCTTGAAAGACCCCAAGGAAGGTGAGGGCAGTGCTAGTCAAGGCCAGATAGGACTTTTACCCATCTGAACTTTCATACTGCAGCACACTGTCAGCAGTCTCCAGAAATGGCAGCTTCCCTGGAGCAGTGTTACAGCCCAGCACAGTGAACTTCCCCAGGACAGGGAGGTAGAAAGAAATTCTTAGTTCCTCCTGCTGCCTCTGAGCTTCCCAGCAGAAAGACCCCATCAGCTGCCATGGCTCCAGCAGTGCAGTTGCTGCAATGAGAGCCAGAGCTCACGTGCAGCCAGCCATGCTGCCTTTGAGCAGTGGTGACACCAAACAGGAGCAAGCCTCTTCTAGTGACGAAAAAAGAACAATCAGCACTTTGCTTGAAAATTAGGAGCTGAAATGATGCTGCATCTATGAATAGGGAATTGCTGCTCAACAAATGTCCTCATTGCAATTCCCATCAGCAGCCCCATTCAGCCACCGCGCCGGCTGCTGCCAGGAGTCTCGGGCAGAGGGGCTGCCAACCTCTCTGCCATCCTGAGCGTGGACACAGGGTGCCTTGTGCACAGGCTGCAGCACATCTGGTGCTGACTGTACAGGGAAGGGGCAGAGCATGCTGATGCAGGACTGCGGCGTGACGTGGTAGCTTTGGCCTTCCCGGTGTGCATAGTTATGCAGGCACGGCAGCAGGACTGGAATGGGACCTCAGGCTGCAGAGAAGTTGCACTTTGATTGTTGCACTGAAGTCTGTGTCTCTGCATAGTAACTGCTGTGCATGTGCCAGCAGAGCTAGCATGAGTAAGCTTATTATGCGATAATCACACCTTCATCTCTCTGGGTACATAAACTGCTGAGGTATCCAAGTCTGGCGGTGAGGCACAACCGCTGTCTGAAGATGAGCAAGAAGCAACCGGGTTCTTTCCTCATCAGGAACATATGTCTGATTTGACACTATTAGCCTTTAATGTTTTTAAACAGAACATCATTACCGAACCACCTGTCGCCACTTAATTACCTGCGTCTGATTACAAAGACGTCAAATAATCTGCTTTTTAGGTGCGAACCCCTTCGTTTGTATGGGCTTTCACCATGCGCCCTAGCGAAACCTCCGCGCTCGTTTCGACGGCTGGACAAAAACTTCCCGAGCGCGTCCTGCCGGGGGCTGCTATGAGGGCTCCGAATCCTCCCGGCCACGCCGAGACGAGCGCTGGGCGCTGCTCCGTAGCGCCGGCACCTCCTGCAGCCCCGTTCCGACCGGCGGAGAGCCGAGGCGGGGCTCCGGGCCCCCCTCTCTCCCTGCGCTTCCCGATGGCTGCGGGGCAGCGCCCGCGGGGCTCTCCTCCCGGTGCGGGGTGCCGCGCTCCTCTCCGGGGCCACGGGGGATCCTCCGGGGCCGGGCCTCCACCGCGCCCCGCGGGACGCCGCCTCCCCGCTCCCGGCCCGCGATGTCGCGGCGACGCTCCGGGGGCGGCGGCGGCTCCCTCCCGCCACGCGCCAGGGGGCCGCGGCCCCGTGGCCCCCGCCCCGCCGGGCCCGAGCGCGGCACCCCGCACCGGGAGGAGAGCC